GGAGCGACCGAGCGCCGCGGGGTCGAGCCAGAGCCGAGCCGGGGTCGGGCGCTTCGAGGACCCCGGAGGCGGGGCCTGTGGGGCCGCGATGGGCGTGGAGATCGAGACCATCTCCCCGGGAGACGGTACCGGGCGGCCAGCGGGAAGGGGGTCCCGGGCGGCGCCGGAGGGCGGGGGTCGGGTCCCGGGAGGGTGCGGGGTAGGGAGGGGAGGGTGCGGGGTGAGCCCCGCCGAGCGTCCTGGGTCTGGGAAGCGACCTCGGCCGCCCCTCGCCCCGGCTGCCTCGGGGTGCGGGCGACCCGGGCGGGGGTCTGCGGCCACCGCCGCCCGGGGCTGGAGCGCCCGGCTGTCGCTGCTGCAGGCTTCCCAGGGTCGGCTTTAGCGTCTCCTTTCCCCGCCCTGCTCGCTGGGTGGGCTCTGCATACAAGGGAGGGATCTGCTGGGGTCTCCGCCGCTCCTCTCCTGGGGCGCCTACTTCCCAGACTCCTGGCCTCGCGTCGGGCTGGCAGCGACCAGGGGAGGGGACCTAGCCCTGCGGGCAAGGGAGGCTTCTGTTGGTCCCTTGGTCGTCGCCGTTCCTCTCCGCAGCCATCCTATCCGCCTCCGTGGCCTCCACATGCAAACCTCAAAGCCCAGGCCTCCGACCCGCTGCTCCACCTGCCTGGATGGCCCGGGATACCAGGAGTCAGCAAGTCCAGAGTAGAGCTCGCGCTTCCCACCTCGCCCACCCCCACACGCTCCTCTGGTCTTCTGCTCCCAGACCGGGGGACCGGCTTCACTTTCCCAAACCCTTGAATAACTGGGTATGGGTGTTCAAGAAATATGTTTAAAATTTAATTCAGATCCGAGGACCCTATGTTTGCACGGATTTTTTGACAGGCAAACTTCCTATTAGGTTTTGTTGACAAGCCCCCTCTCCAGGTTACTGGAGGGCCTCTTGCTTTGAGCTACCCTCCTTAGTTTTTTTGTGTTTGTCTCTGAGACAAACTTCCCATGTGGTTCAGGCTGGCCATCACTCTGTAGCCCAGGCTGGTTATAACTCTTGGTAATCCTCCTGCCTCAGCCTCCTTAGGGCGGGGATTACAGGAGTGGGCCACCACACCCAGCACACCCTCCTTGCTGAAAAGCTATTAGTCTTAGCCGTTACCTAGACCCAGGGGTGTGGGCTTCTTTGCCCCAGTAGGGAACCTTGCAGCTGGAGTCCTGAGAGCACTTCCCCAGGCCACCCTGTCCCCCAGCCCTGAACTTGCTCACCCTTCAGTCTCTCCTTCTTGCCTTTAGTCTGGCCTCCCCACCCCACTCATTTTCTTTACCAAAACCTGAGGGCTCTTTAAAATGCACATTTGACCAAGTGCCTCCCTCCCGCAGAAAATCTTTTAAGGATTCTTCTGTCTGCCTTCTGGGCATGCTGCCTCTTGCTGCCCTGGACTATTCTAACCTTCTGTCCTGGAGCTCCATCCCTCATCACCGCCCTATGCCCACCACCGACTTTTTCTCTAGCTTTGCCAAGCTGCCTGCATGTTACTAAACACACCACCCTTTCAGCAAACCTTTATGGAGCATGTTCTGTGTGCATGTAGCTCCAGGGTTACAGCAGTGAACAGACACGGCTCCTATAGACTCCTCTAAATGTATCTGGGTCCCCATAGCCTAGCCATGTAGCCCAGACTGGCCTTAACTCTTGATCCTCCTGCCTCAGCCTCTTGGGTGTGATTACAGTACTGTGCTATTATGCCTGGCCCGGGCCTCTTTATCCAGCCCCATGACTTTGAATTCCACCCAGATTTATGCCTGTAGTGTAAAATCTGCATCTGCCTACTTGCAGTATGAACTCAGATGTCTGATAGGCATCTCAAAATTGCCACCCGCACACATCTGCTCCTCCCCAGACTCCCCATTCAGGAAACATCACCCACCCCTGCTGGTTGCCCTGACTGAATGCCTGGGCATGCTCTTGTTTGCGCCTTTCCCCTCATCTTGGGCCCCTCTCCCATCCACTTGCAGGCACTGTCAGCTCCTGTCCAGAGCACATCTGCAGTCTAGTTTGCTCTGTCCTCTGCTGCCCCCACCTAATTCAAGCCATCATCGATTTGTTGTCTCAATTATTGCAACAGACGCCTAACTGTCCATCCCACACGGTGCAGCCAGAGTGATCTTATAAAATCTTAATTCAGATTATGTCATTCTCTTGCTTAAAACCCTCCAGTGGTTTCCGGGTGCACTTACTATTAAACCCAGTTCTGCAAGGCCTGCATGATGCATCTCTTTCCCACTTCTCTCCTCCCTCCCTCCTTGCCAGTCACCTAGTCTCCTCTCTTTTTCTTTTTTTTCCTTTCTTTACTTTTTCTTTTTTTTCCTTTCTTTACTTTTTCTTTTTTTTCCTTTCTTTACTTTTTTGAACTAGGACCTCACTCTGTAGCCCAGGCTGGCCTCCACTGTGATGGTCCTCCTGCCTCAGCCCCCTGAGTGTTCGCATTACAGGCATGTGCCACCGCACCCGCCCTGGCCTCCTTTCTGTGCTACAGATACAGTTGCCTTACGGCCTGTGCACTGGTTCCTCACACCTCCTCTCTAAGAGGCCCTTCTGGACTCTCCTTTCTCTATTATCATTTTTTTAAATTTTTTGAGACAAGATCTCAGTATGTAGTCCAGGCTGGCCTTGAATTCACAGTGATCCTATTGCCTCAGTCTCCCAAGTGCTGGGATTGCAGGTGTGCACTACCACACCAAGCTTTTTTTTTTTTGGTACTAGGAATCAAAGTCAGGACCTTGCACTTGCCAGGCAAGCACTGTGCTATTTTTTATTTTGAGAGAGGATTTGCTAAGTCACTAAATTCCCCAGGCTGGGCTTGAAGTTTTGATCCTCCTGCCTCAGCCTCCCCAGAGTATGTTTTCTTTAGAGGACTTATCACAATCTGTAATTATCTTGTTTATTTGAGTATTGTTTGTCTCATTAGAATGCGAACTCCAAAAGAGCAGGAAACTTGTCTGTGTTGTTTACCACTATAACCCTTGGATCAGGCACAGGCCTGGTGCAGAGTAGGTACCCAGTAGCTATTGTGTTTCTTCATCCTTGGGAGTAGCCATCAATCCACACTACAAACTATGATTTATGTGTCTGTCTCTCCATTTTGCTCACGAGTCCACACATTGCTCTGCATCTCTGGAACCAGTCCAGGCCTGGCATGTACTAGGCTGTCCATAAATGTTTGTGAACTAGATGAAGGAAAGTAAAAGAACAATCAGAGAAAAAGGGGAGAAGCTGGAGTGAAGGAAACCAGTGGCATAAAGCTCAAACCCGAGTGACATGACTAGTTTATACAAGGCACAGCCAGAACTAGGACCCTAGGCATCTCTGTGGTATGAACAAGAATGTGTGCCCAGCTGGGTATGGTGGTAATCTCAGCATTTGGGAGGCAGAGGGAGGATCACTGAAAGTTTGAGGCCAGCCTGGGCTACATAGTGAGACCTTGTCTTACCATACCCCCACCACCACACACACAAAGAATGTGGTCCTGAGCTCATGGTCACAGTCATACTGGAATATCTCGGGTGAGCTTTTCTGATCCTCCTTCATCTGCCCTTTTGTCTCCCTGCAGGAAGGACATTCCCCAAGAAGGGCCAGACATGCGTGGTGCACTACACAGGTAGGCCTCACCTCTCAACCCCTGCTCCCCCCCACCCCCGTGTGAGCTCCCTATGAGGGGTCTGTACCCAGACCAGGCTTGAAGCCCAGTCCACTTCTCCCTGCTGTCCCCACAGTGACCATTCCTGGTGGCTGCCTCTATATGAATCGAGTATCTCCAGCCCTCATCCCTTGCTGCAGGGAAGGTGGCGCCCTGGCTCTCCTGGTTTTGATGTTTGGAAATCTCTGAAATCTCCATGAATGCTCTGCCTCCCGGCAGCCTCCCTTTTCATCCCGCTGTGTCCTCAGAATTTCCTTTTTCCTCTCAGAAATGGACTGTTTCAGTTTAGTCTGCTGTTCCTGAGTGCTGACAGTGCTGGATGCCTTGCTGGGGACAGGGGACACGGAGATCAACAGGGAGGTGCTGTCTTCACTGGGGCTCTGAGAGAGAACAGGAAGAGGATAGACTGGGCACCTGTAGGCTCTGAGCAGGGCTCGTCTCCAGGGACCACAGGAGGCCAGCGAAGGTCCCACACCCCTCCATCCCCTCCTGGATGTGTCTGACTACGCCTGGGCTAAGGGACATTGCAGATGAGCTGTCAGGAGGAGCATTGCTTCCAAGGGAGATGAAAGCTCTGCCTTGTGACCTGCTTCCCAATGTGGCAAGCTTGGTGGGTGACAGTCACTTAGCATACAGCAGAGCCAGCTGAATTCCTGGGCCACACTCATATGAGACCGTTTTTAGCAGTTCTCTGGGCCAGCGTGAAACAGCCGGCTAGTGGGGATGTTGCGCAGCAGTTGTGTTGCCAGCCGCTGATGTCAGTGACTGGGGCTGTGTTTCATCTCCTTGTGATGTGGCCCAGTTAACCATTGGGCCACTGAGGCCTCTGGTGGGGGTCATTGATTTATCTGACCTACGCATAGGCAGACCAGTACTTATCAAATGACTAAATGACAACATCCCTTTGTAAGTCTCTTCACAGCGTATGCATAGAGCAGGCAAGGTACATTAAACACTACCATCGGCTCCAAGTGGCTCGGGTCTTACAAACACAACAGGAGACTGTAGAGGACTTTCACTGTTTCTTTTTCCTGTATTCCTGAGGATGGAACACAGCGCCTTATACCTGGTAGGCAAACATTCTAGCACTGGAGCTACATACCCTAGCTCCTAAGCTTTTTAAAATGAAAAATAGATATAGCAGAGAATATAATCGAAGATGTACAGCCAAATTTAGATACAGCAGAGAATATAATCAAAGATGTAAGGGCAAAGTATTAATTATTATTTGATGGTGGTAGGGATCAAACTCAAATACATCGCAGGCAAGTGCTTTGCTACTAAGTTACAACCCAGCCTCCATGAATGTTTTCAGAGTGATAACGCTTATTTAGCCATCATTCAGATAAACATATAAGCTATTCCTAGCACCCCCAGGAGATTTCCCTATGCCCCATTCACTCATCCCACCTAAGGGTAATGATTACTCAATTTTTCTCCCCATGGACTGTTTTTGAACTTCATGTAAGTGAAATCATAGACTATGTAGTCTTCTTTTTCAACACTGGGGATTGAACCTGTCTTATGCATGGTAGACAAGTAGTCTATGCTGAGCAAGATCCCTTGCCTTTTTTAACAGAAGGACTTGCTAAATAACCCAGACTAGCCTTGAATTTGCAGTCCTGCCTAGCCTTCCCAAGTAGCTGGGCTGACAGGTGTGTGCCACCATACCCAGCTAGTATGTATTCCTTTTTTTTTTTTTGAGACAGTTAAGGCTGGCTTTTGAACTCATTATGTAGTCCAGGCTGGCCTCAAATTCATGGTGATCCTCCTGCTTCAGCCTCCCAAGTCCTGGGATTATAGGCATATGCCATCATGCCTGGCCTATGCCTGTGAGATTTATCTAGAGTAGTTTGTTCTGTTTATTCATCCACAGAATCCACTACAATTTATGTATCTGTTTATTATTTATCTGTATGTTTTTGTTATTTATTTATTTTTTGTCTTTGAGACAGGGTTTTGTCATGCCATTCAGTCTGGCTTTGAGCTCACTTTGTAGCCCAGGCTGGCCTTGAACTCATGCCTCAGCCTCCTTTATTTGATTTTTGAGACAAAGTCTTGCCATGTAGTTCAGGCTAGACTTGAACTCACTAGGTAGCCCAGACTGGCCTTGAATTTGCCACAGTCCTCCTGCTTCAGCCTCCCAAGTGCTAGGTTTACAGGCTTCTGCCACCATGCCTAGCTACTTATCCTTGCTAATATTCAACATTTGGATTGTTTATAGTTTTTAGTTACTACAAATAATGTTGCTTTGAATAGTCTTGTAGCTGTCTCTTCTTAGTGCACATATGCACACACCTGTGTGTGCATTCTGTTGGGAGTATGACCGGAAGTGAAGCTGCTGGGGTACGGGGTTTTACCGATGCCCGGGTTAGCAGTACTGCAAAGGGACTTTTTCAAGTGGTTGTGCCAGTTTCCACTTCTGTCCATAGTGTTTGAACGTTGCAGTTGCCCTGTAATCTCACCAACAGTTGGTATTGTTGTCAGGTATCTCATTGTGGTTTTGATAGGCATTTCCCTGATAAATAAGAAGTACTTTTCATGTGTTTACTTCCCATTTGGATATCCGTTTTCTTTTTCTTTCTTTCTTTTTTTTTTTTTTTTTTTTGATAGCCTTTTTGTGTGTTGTTTGTTTTCTTTTGTTTTTTGAGAGAGGGTCTTATTGTATAGTCCAGGCTGACCTTGAATTCACTATGTAGCCCAGGCTGGCCTCGAACTTGTGGCACTCATCCTGCCTTGGCCTCCCGAGTGCTGGGATGACAGTGTGCATGGATATCCTTTTTAGATCACTTAAGCTCTGTCCATTAAAAAAAAAAAATCAGTGGGGCTGGGGATTTAGCTCAGTAGCACAGCACCTGCCTGGCAAGCGTGACGTCATGAGTTCGACTCCCGGTACCAAAAACAAAACAAAACAAAAATAAAAAATCAGAGCCAGGTATCAGATAAACATCACTCAGATAAACATATAAGCTATTCCTTATGGGAATAGATGGGATTATAGATGGTACACATCTAGAATCTCAGCACTGTTGGAGGCTGAGACAGGAGGATCACAAGTTTAAACCCAGTCTGGACAACTTAGCAAGACCTTCTTTCAAACATAAAAAATAAAAGGGCTGGGGATGTAGGTCAGTGAAAAGGCCCTGGGTTCAGTCCCCAGTACTAAAAAAACTTAGGTTGTAGGAAGCTGGGAGTGTAGCTCAGTGATAGAGTGTGTTGTTAGTATGTACAAGGCCCTGGGTTCAATCCTCAGCCACAAAACAAAAGAGGTTCCAGTTAAAATGTGTTTCTTTTTCATAATGATTTATATGAGCTCCTTATATATTTTGGGTATGCGTTCCTTGTTGTTATTATACCTTCCCAAGAATCTCACACACTGTAGCTTGCCTTGTACACTTACCAGTCTTCTCCACTATGGTGAATACTTTCTGTGTTAGTTCAACAGATCTTCCTCCTCCCCAGTGTGAGAAGCTGAAAGAGTAAATAAGATCCCAAATGTACAGTACATATTGTAAAATGGAAGAAACTTCCAAAGGAAAAAGAAACTGATGTGGGGCAATGGAAAAAAGGAAGGGAAAAGAAAAAAGAAAAAAAAAATATATATATATATATACACAAAGGTAGTTGAAATAGTTATACTGCTAATTTCTCTCAGTTCATTGAAGAGATGTTTGTGCTAATATTGTTTGGACAATTAAATGCTGACATCTTGTACTGAGTAATTAATTTAAAGATACCGGGGCTGGGGATTTAGCTCAGCGGCACAGCTCCTGCCTGGCAAGCTCAAGTTCATGAGTTCGATTCCCGGTACTGGAAAAAAAAAAAAAAGAAAGATAACAGTACCCATTGTATTAGCCATTGTTACCCTCCTATCATTGTTTTGGAAATTTGGTTTTGGGGGTTTTTTTGGTATAGTTTTTTAGTGTTTTGTTTCATTAAAATAAAAATTGTTTAAAAAGAAATCTTCCCATAAGTCATGAAGATTTTCTTCTATTAATTACCCTGTAGAAACTTTATGATTATTATTATTCATGATGCTGGGGATTGAGCCCAGACCCTCACACATACTGGGCAAATGCTCTTACCACTGAGCTACACAGCCCCAGCCTGAAGCTTTATTATTTTATCTTTTCTATTTGTATCTATGAATCTTCTGCAGTTGATTTTTGTGTGTGGATTTGGTAGAGGTCAAGATTTGATTTTTCCCCCCATGTGTATATATAGTTGATTTAGGAACATTAATCCCAAAATCATCCTTTATCTGATGTGTTGCTGTGGCTTCTTCGTCAGATGAGTAAATATATATAAGCTGGCCTGATTCGGAACGAGGTAGTTTGAATTTGCAGCAACAGGTGTACGTGTGGTCTCCAGTAGATTCAGTTATACCTGAATGAGAAAGTTGGTCTATAAATGTGAAAGGGAAAAACTACAAGAGAAATTGTTCTGTTTTAAACTTTATTCTTTTGAACAGACTGAACAAACTGCCCAGCTCTGTAACTACTTCATAGCTTTGTAATTTCTTGACCCCTGTAAACCATGAGAGCGTAACCAAACATACAGGCCAGATTGTACCATTGTACCAAACGTCATAAACTGATGATCGTTAATCTACCCTTGTAACTGATGATCTCACTTGCTAGCCAATCAGAAGAACTGCTAGGCATTGGGGCCTGATATTCTGGGAGTGATCCCGATCAGTGCCCATTGACATAAATAAATCTGCCTCAAAATCCTGGGTGTCGTTGCAAATGGGTGTGTGAGTCTGTGCATGCGCACATCCATGTGTATATTTGTCCAAGCCCTTGTCTGTGGGAAAGTATGGAGATCTAAATATTTTCTTAGCATCTGTTTGGCCATCAGGGTTTTTCTCCTGAGTGTGTATGCATAAGTATATGAGCTCACATAAGTATCTCTGCATATTGGAATATCTTAGCAACCTGTGCGTATCGTGAGTTTGTATCTGATCTCCTCAGCATCCATCTGTGTGTATCTCTGTGTAGGAGAAGGGTTTTCTCCTTTGCCTCATTTAGAACTCAGGGCAAGAGCCCAATTTATTCTACATAGAAGGTAGGTCAGTCAGACTGTTTCTGTAGTGCACATTGAAGTTGTAGAAATTTAGAAGTAAAATCACAGATGCTCAGATACTAAGTTAGCAGAGCCTATATTGAACATGGAAAATCTGAGGCCCAGACAGAGGAAGCGGTTTTCTCAACATCACACAGTGAGTTAGTGCCAGACTGAAGACAGAACCCTGTCTCTCAAGTTAATAGGCCAGACTGCCTTTTGTTATGGTCCTGAGGCTTTAGGAAAAAATTGTGGAATAGGGTCACTTAGGGAAGCTCTGATCTCTGAGTGAGAGGCACAAGAAAAAAGTGAAAATAGAAAAGCAGTTCTTGGGCTTGCGCTGCTGGGCAGAGACAATATCAGCAATGACCAGGCATCTCAGCTGGAGGGTGAGGGATGCCCCCACCTGCTAGAGGCAGCACCTAGTACTCTGGTGTCAAACAGCCGTTTGAATGGGGTTTGGAAGCTACCACTAATCGGCTGCTCACTGCAGCGGGGCATGGTGTAACTTTTGGGTGTTGCATTTTGGGAAAACCTTGGGAACTTTAGGCGGGGATTCAACCTGAGGCTGGACTATGACAGAAAAGAGAACTTCAGGCTGAGGAAGTGATGTGCAAAAAGTCAACTGGGAGAGGAATTAGAGGTGTGCTGTGGGAGGCTTGGGAGGGCAGGAAAGAGCAGAGAGCTCTCAGGCAGGGAGTAGCTAGATCCTGAAGTGCCTGTACGCATTGCAGGCTTTTGGACTCTGCCCTGCAGAACTATCAAAGTGTTTTAAGCAGGGAAATAATATGATTTGATTTGTGTTAAAAAAAAAAAAAATCTGAAAAAAAAAAAAGAAAAAGAAAAAAAAAAAATCTGGGCGCAGAGCGGAGAATGGAAAGAAGAGCAAGCAGAGCGTAAAGACCAGTTGGGAGTTGTTCCTGTCCACAGACGAGGAATGGAGAAAATGGGATTCCAAAGAGACGTGGGGCTGGTGACGGCAAAGAGGAACCCATTTTAGACATGTTTAAACTGACCTGGGAATTAACTCACAACCACATCTCTTTTCTGCCCTGTTCTTGGCTTTGACAGGAATGCTCCAAAATGGGAAGAAATTCGATTCATCCAGAGATAGAAACAAACCTTTCAAGTTCAGAATTGGTAAACAGGAAGTCATCAAAGGATTTGAAGAGGGTGCAGCCCAGGTAGGATAAGTATACTTGTTAAAGGGGATTTAGGGAGCTGAGGGATCTGGGCCGAGCACTTTGACCTCCACCTCTACCCTCACCCTCTCATGGACTACTACTGCTTTGACTCTATTCGCCAAGGCATGGCAGCGCCACCTAGTGTGCATGCCTGGCTCTGTGTCCCTACCCCTTTGGGGCCAGCATGCCTCCCTTCCACCCAGGACCTTCCCCAAACACATCCCTTCAGGCTTGCTTGGAACTGGGTGGAAGGCCAACCAGCTGCCCAAATCTGAGGTAGCAGAAAAGTTACAGTGGGAGAAGCCAAGGAGGTGATTTTTTTTTTAACTTAAAATAATTTCAGGCATATAAAAATATTGCAAAAATAGTAAATTCTTAGATATTTTTACCCAGCTTCCCTGATTGTTAACATCTTACATAATCATAGCACAATGATCAAAACCAGAACACTGAATACAATTAATCAATTGGTTCAAATTTTTGAATCGATCATTTGAAATTCCAAAACTGAGTTATTCAGATTTCACCAGTTGTCCCAGTAATACCCAGTAGCTTCTTGACAATTGCAGTGCTGAGCCCTGGCTCAGGTTCTTCCTCCTTGGTCTCTCTGTGGTCTGGTCGCAGGATGCTCCAGTCTTTGCTGTGGTCTCTTACCCGAACCTCTGCTCCTGTCTTCTTCCCAAGTGTGTACAGGCCCCGGTTAAACATTCCCCTTAGGTTTCTTGAGAAGAGGGTAAAGAACAGTTATGAGCAAGTGTTTGAGCCCTACACTAATTGAATAACCAGCAGTGTTGGATGAATGAATTTTGAGACTATTACAGTCCCACAGAAAAATCTCTGCCATCTTAAATGCAGAATTTACCAGCTCTTTGTATAGCTTCAATGTGTCATATGTAAAGTTCATCTCTGATCTTCAGTTACCATGATGACGTTTGCCATAGTTACCTTACTTTTTTCTTTTAAATCAAGCTGGGTCCTCTTTCTCCTCTCCCCATCTGCCCCCATCCCTGCTAGATGAGCTTGGGGCAGAGGGCGAAGCTGACCTGCACCCCTGACGTGGCATACGGAGCCACGGGCCATCCTGGTGTCATCCCTCCCAATGCCACCCTCATCTTTGACGTGGAGCTGCTCAACTTAGAGTGAAGGCAGGAAGGAGCTCGAGGTGGCTGGAGATGGCTGCTGCTCGCCCTTCTAGCCTGCTCTGCCACTGGGACGGCTCCTCCTAGTTGGGGCTCTTGATCAGTGTGCTCACCTCACTGCCCCACGGCACTACCACTCGCTCTGCCCAAGTTGCTCTGTATGTGTTCACCATCGGTCTCGCACATCTTAGCTTGAGGAGACTTCGGTTGCAGATTGAAACGTTTCAGGTTGTGCATATTTGTGTGATGCATGTAGTAGCCATTCCTGGTCACAGAATAGATTTCTTGTTTGCACAATCTACACTGCCTTACTGTCACTTAAGCCAGACACACAAGGTGCTCAGACATGAGTGTACATGGTGTACCGAGGGACTTGAGCCAGTTACCTTTGCTGTCACTTTCCCTTATGAATTCTGTTGGCTGCTCACTTAATGTCCTCTTTGGAAATAATCTGTGAAATAAAGGCTCTGTGCTTGACAACTTCCTGTCTGTCCTTGTAAGTAGGACATGCTCTATGGACCACACAAACCAGATGCCCTTTGAGAAAAGCAGAAAGCTTGGAGCTTTCCAAGTGGCTAGGAGAGTTTAATACACATAATAGCTCTAATGGGAACACTGTTCGCATTAGGCCTTGTTATGTGTGGTGCCAGGGATGGGGTTCTATATACTTTTTTAAGGGGGGGGGGCAGGCACTGTGTTACTGAGCTATCTCCCCAGCCCAACTTTTTAAATAAAACTACCAATCCTCTAAGCAAGCCTGCAGGCAGATATTACCTGCCGCTCACCTCACAGGCTTACACTTCTCTGTGTAGCTAATCCCACAGCCTACCAGTCACATGTAGGATTTGAACCCCTCATGCAACCTTGCAATCTCTATTTGGGGTAGAATAAGAGTGATGATCCCCTCACCCAGATGGAAACATTTTGTGTTTAAACAAATTAAAGTGTGTTGGGGCTTAGAATAATACACACACATTGACAAGTTACTTTGGAAAAGAATGTGCGATTCTGAATTTGTTTTCACATGTACTAGGTTAGTTTCATCTAGATCTGCTCTACTATCAGCACATTACTTTTGAGAAGAATGTATTATTCTGAGCTTGTTTCTACATATACTGTCAAAAAAGATGAGAGTTTCACTGTGTTGCCCAGGCTGTCCTCTAATTCCTAAGTTCAAGTGATCCTCCTGCCTCAGCCTCCCAAGTACTTGGGACTACAGGTATCATCATCCAGCCTAGACATATTGCTTACTTTCACCAACATTCCCTGTAACTACCTAGAAGTCCCCAGTTAGGGTTTAAAATTAGCCCTGAGTGGTGTAAGTTGTATGCAGGTTAGAGGAGCCCCGCAAATGTGGCTAAGAGATTTTACTTTCAGTTGGCCTGGGGCAGTGATGGAGAACCTTTTACAGCATTCAGTACCAAACGGCCCACTGGCCTGGGGCAAGAGAAGGTGGAACTACAGGGATGTACCACTTTTGAGTGGCTCTATATGACACACACACGTTTTTTCTCCTGATACCCAAGATGTGGGAAGAGAAAGCACTGACATGTTTTACAAAAAGATACACGTTTAATGACATAATATATTCTAATATGCATCAAAGTTTCTTTCAAATCTCAAGAAAGCAGGATATTCAGTATTGATTAAAAAGGAAAAAATAGTGACAGTGGTCACACACACGTTAGTCCACAATGAACATGCAGAGCTTATTTTGGTGGATCCGTGTTGATGCCGTACTTCTCCTTAAGGAGCTTCAGCTGTTCCTCCTTCTTCTTGGTGTCCATCTTCTGAAATGCCTGGAAATGGGGCAAGCACCAACGTTACAGGTACCAACATATAGCTGTATGAATTTCACACTACACCGACTGAAAGAGAAAGCTCACAGCACAAATTCCCACCACATGCAGCCCTCGGATTCCCGAGCATCTCACCTGCGATGGTGACAGTAACTCTGTGATACTCACCCTGTTGGCATTATAGTACAAAACCACGAGGTATCTGTTACAGACGTTGAATCCTGACAGGTGGTCACAGGCGTTCTTGGCATCAAAGATGTCTTCATAGACCACATAGGCTGTTCCTCTAGTTTCAGGTGTGTTCCCCCTTCAGAAGTAAACATAACTAAAGTGAACATCACTAAAATACACAAACATTGATAAGTAAATAATAGATCACCAGGAGTCTTTTTTTTTTCTGGTACCAGGAATGGAACTCATGACCTTGTGCTTGCCAGGCAGGCGCTGTGCTGCTGAGCTAAATCCCCTGCCCCCACCACCAGGACTCTTGAGATAAGAGTTTCATGATATAGTTCAGGCTGGCATTGAATTTCCGGATATCCCCCTGCCTCAGCCTCCTGAGTGCTGGGAGCGCACTACCATGGTGAGACTGAAAAAAAAATTTTTTTAAAAACAGGGTCTTGCTATGTATGTAGTTCAGACCGGCCTTGAACTCACTATGTAGCCTAGGCTGGCCTTGAATTTGCAGTGATCCTCCTGTCTCAGCCTTCTGAGTGCTGGGATTACAGGTGTGTGTCACCATGCCTGGCTTTTTTTGGCTGAGAAGTCTTTTGAATCTGTCATTCATATGGTTTTTTTTTTTTTTTTCCTTTTTTTTAGACAGAGTCTTGCTAAGTAGCTCAGGCTGGTCTTGAACTCATTATGTAGCCCAGGTTGGCCTTGAACTCACGGCAATCCTCCTAACTCTACCTTCCAAGTGCTGGGATTACAGGTGTACACCATCATGCCCAGCCTGTCGAATACATTTTATTTAAATATTTTGAGAGCAAAGTGAAAACCATTAGAAATAAACAGTATGGATAGGTATGCTGGATAAGTCTGTCATTTCTTGAGCTAGGTAATTATTTTCCTAGTTAAGTAATACATCTATAGCTCACTGTTCTATCAGGAATATAAAGAATACAAAGCACTAGCAGCAAGCAAGAACTAGCTTGAAATTTAGGCAGTCTTTGCAACATCTGAACGTGAACTGTAAGCTGCTGGTCTGCTGGAAATTGCAGCTCCTTCAGCATCAGTAAAGAATTAAATAAGCCAAATTTATTTAGTAAGTCTCTGCACTGACTTCTAACAAAGCTCAACGGGGCCTCATCCTAGCTTCTCCCTATCTATGGGGTCCCTGTCCCTACATCTTCATGTGTACTGCTTAGCCTTCCTGTTGCTCATACTAAGATCACTTTTCAAGCCAGGCTTGGTGGCTCACACCTGTACTCCCAGGATTTGGGAGCTGAACCTAGAGGATTTCAAGTCTCAGGCCAGCCTGTGTGACACAGTGAGTTTGAGCCAGCTTAAAGTACACAGGGAAACCCTGTCTCAAAAAAACAAACCTGGCAAGGGGCTGGGGATTTAGCTCAGCGGCAAAGCGCCTGCCTGGCAAGCGCAAGGTCGTGAGTTCGGTTCCCGGTACC